GATGGCAAATAATGTAATATATATATATATATATATATATATATATATATATATATATGTGAAAAATATCTTTTTGTAATTTTTTAAACTTGCACATATTACACGCAGTATTGTGCGAAAACTACTTAAATTTTAAAAAAATGTTATATGACCTTAATGAAAGAACTCGCTATGGAAAACCAGTTTTATTTGAAGGAAAACTCTACTCGACCAAAACCGAAAAATAGTTCATACTTTTGCAATTTTCAAAAATTCAGAGATAACCGTGAAAAATCGGACCTATGCCATCTTTATAAGTGTACGAGTATGGCATTCTATTCTTTCAAGAATTTGAAGAAAAAATGTGGGGCCTTTTATGAGAAAATTTTGAAAGTGTCTAGGAGGCTTTATGTAAAGTACCCCTGAAATTAATTAAAGTTTTTCAAAATCGCAGAGTTTTGACTCCAGCCAGATAGACAGGAGTTTATTTAATTTGGAAAAAAAGTTTCGCATATTTAGGCGCCAGTGTTGTTCACACCGATACACCCAGACGGACAAACGGACGGACGTTTTGAAAAAAATCACGGGGCCCCCTAAACGTGTATTTCCGTTTAAATCCCGATATCGACGTTCCGCAGCATTACATAACTTTCTCTGTATATGCATACGTATGCGACAAAGTAACAAACACCTAAGTAATGCGTTGCTATGTTTATGTTTCGTGGTAGGCCTTGACACTCAGTTTACGTCACAGAAAACCAACCACCAGTTTAGCTGGGCTCCTTTATGTCAGTTTGTTAGGGGGAAAGAAAAACAGAGAACGGATGAAAAGACATTTCTACCAACCTAAAAAATGTAGATCCTTTGTTTCCGCCATTGTCATTTTACGTTAACCGTATGTCCTTGCCCCCGCCTCTCGTATATCTCTTTCCTACACAGATCTCGCTTAGTGATAGGATTCATACATTTTATTAGCATTTGCCTTTTTAAGGCTAAAATATAAATATAGTAGTGAAGGCATGTCCTTTGGGAAGAAATGTTTCAATGTAACGAGTGTAAAAAGTAATTTGACTATTCTCTTTCTGATATTTTTGCCGAACTTAGAATTCTGGCGAATATGAACATAAGAGGTTATCGCCAAAGCCAGAACGGTCTTCGTTCTGTTCGAAAAGCTCCATTAACAGTATCCCCGGTAACGTTTTTTACCTTTGTTATTATTATGTAGTTGCTTAGAAACCAAATTATACTAGCACTAGCTTGCCTGAACATTCGACGACATAATCAAAATTAACCAGTATTTCTTAGCATTTTTTAGACAAGACATGATTTAAAAAAATGGATCTTCAAAATGCTTAAGTGCACGCGAAGCAAACTGACAATGCCTATATAGACAGACAAGACAATTTGGTGAGTAAAATAAACTCAAGGCTGAATATTATCATTATTAACAATGATTTATTTTGTGACTTTTAGAGTTACTTGAAAAGACCTCAGATTCATAGCAGACTATGATTCATAGTTTCTTCTAATTATACGTGATATGAAGCATTAATTGTTAGGTCATTAATTGCATTATTGTCATTATTAAATGCGCGAAAATTACAAGCAAAAATATTTAAAATCTCATTATTCGTACCATTCACAAATTTTTAAACTGTGGTTACTCTCATGCATTTTTAGTAAAAAGAATAATATTGTTTTCGTACAGGTTTAGAAATAATGCATTAAAATGCAATTGATACTCTTTGTGCCTTGGCATATACAACAGTCGTTTTCTTCGCGAGTATGAAAAGAACAATTTTCCTTTTTTTTTTGTGGACAACTCTTAGCGTAAAGGGGACTTTTATTCTAGAACAGATGGTTTGTTAATTGTTTTAACAAAGAGTCATATTCTAAATTTGTGTAACTTGTTTTCATAACCACACCTTTCCTTGAACTCCAGAATACCCTCAGTTATAAACATTAATTGAATTAAGATCGGTGGAAACGAGAGTTGTTAACAAAGATCGTTATTGCTCGATCGTTATCGTCAGAAATTATCGCTCTCGTGTAATAGAAATTCATCAGCTTGTGGGTGAATTACCCCCATCTCGCTCAGGTTTTTCACCATTTCCCTGATCCTTTGAGAGAATGCTCGAATGCTGAGATGCTCCATGTTTTGTTTCTGGACTTAGATGTAACTTCACTATCTGTGCACGTTTTCTAGAGTTCAACGGGAAATATAGTTATTCAAAATTATCATTCTCCATGTTATGGCGGCAATAAGTCGATCCCTCACGAAGGACACGAGGGAGAATAACAGCCCAAATCCATAGATTTGTCTTTGCCAATGGTTTTTATTAACGTGAGCGAATATTTTCTTATCAATTTTTGCTAAGAATGCTCATGTCCGTCTATATTCAGAATTCAATTTGTACATGGGCTAGAGTGATCTGGGTCACATGTGTTATGATGAATAATCCTGAAGGACCATAATGAGTAATTTCACATCGAAAAAACGAAAAATGTATCAGGACATGTAATCATGACAGAAAAAGTAGCATTTGGTGTAGTTGTAGTAGTTCTTACGTCAGACATAAGGTGTTACAAATATACAAATCACGAATGCATTCAGCAATTAGTTTGCAAGTTACAAGCTAATAAACTTCTCTGAACAAACATTGGTCTCATTGATGTGCTATCATAATTGAAATATCATTGGCTATCTTTAGATTTTAAACTCAAAGCCATCACGATCCTTTTACTTAGTTTGTTAACATCTCCTGTGTCAAGTATACAATCCGTCCAATTTTTCTTGAGCTCTCATTTCTCTAGATATTAGCTAAGAGGAGGTTTTGTTATTTCGACAGCTGTATGATTGAAAAAATATGTAGTTCGTTTGTAAATGCAAATAGTTTATATTACATATCAATTAAACTTGTCCCTATCAAATACTAGCAACGCTTGTTGATATATTTTATTCATAATTAAACCTTATTGGTAAAGGTAAGGGGGTAGGGGTTTCGGAGGTCTAGAATAATAGTGGGTATTGTAAAGAGTGTGTGGTGTCTCAATAATTTTGATACAAACCAATTATAATGAGTGCTTAAGAATATATAATATCAATATTTAACTGGTTTTATTGTTTGAAATTCACTTTCTGATGTACTTAGGCAGTTAATTATTAATAAGTCCGCAAATTATTGAAATATAACCAAATTGCGTTTATTGAATGTCATTCGGTGCATTTAGCATTAACAATATAAAAAGTTTAAAGAAAAAAATTGAAGTAGTCTTTGAGAAAATCTGGTTTTTAAAATTGCCAATGTTTCACTTAAAATTGCGCAAAAACTGCTAATATTTTAAAAAAAATACATAACATTAATTAAAGAACTAATTGTAGAGTACTAATTTTATTTAAAGAAGAAAACTTCGATTTTAAATAATGTTGAAGCACGAAAGGGTTCAAAAACTTTCAAACTTGTGCAATTTTCGAATATTTAGAGATAACTGAAAATCGGACCTATGCCATTTTTATTAGTGTATTTTCACTCTATTCTTAAAAGAAATTTAAAGAAAAAAGTACATGTCATGTTTGAGAAAATTTTGAAACTGACCCAGAAGCTTCATGTAAAGCACCCCCTAAATTTAAAGAAATAATTTCCAATCCGCGGAGCTTTGAATTTGGTCTGATTGATCTAGGAATAATAAAATTTTCATTCATATTTTTCGAAAACTCAAAGATTATCTATGAAAAAGAGCTTCAAATTTTGGATTTATAGTAGCGCTTAATCGTCAGTTTTTTCAAATAGCTCCAAATTTTTCAAGAAAAATTGTCATTTAGGACCAGGTTTTACTGTTCTTTAATATAATAAAATAATATTTCCGCTCTACAATTAGGATACCGAAAAATTAAGAAAATGTCAAAAAATGTACTTTGGGCGCCGATAGATGGTAGTACGCTAGAATTTGTGGCAAGTTCTAATAGCTAACGGAGGCCAAACGAATAGAAAACTAATACAGAAAAGGCTGTGCTTCTCTGCAGCATCACTAGTTTCTTTACTTTTAAAACGTTCGACGGTCGGTCTGTCCATTTGTTCAGACCAAAGAAATTAAAGCCGTAAGTGTATAAAAAATTGAGATGATTTACCAGACTAGAACAACTGGACTAAAAATACCTTGATTGGCATTTTCGGTTGATCATATCATTTTACGGACTTTTGCTCGTGTAGCTGGTTGAATCATCCACAAGAAAACATTCTTTCTGTAATGTGTAAACCAGACCTTGCGGACAGCTGTCGGACACATTTCGCATATGAATGACATAATCTGATTCGAGGTACTTTTTGTAAAATAACTACGTACCACAAAAATACCACATTTTATTGATGTAAGAATGCACGTAAGTAATATAACCTGTGGTCCTTTAAATTTCAAATTGAAACTTAAGTATAGCTCACATATTGTAACCTTTCCTCTTTAAGACATTTTATGTGACTAGGCTGTGTTTTAACGTTCAATTAATTCGGCATAAACTTCACAGATTTTAATGAATAGTATGCAATTTTCATTGGAAAGGATTCTGTGTGTTTTATCTTAATTGGATTTAGATTCATTAGGTTCATTACAGGCACACTCAGTAATAAAACAAGTAGATTACATCAGATCTATACAACTGGCAAATAGCAAAAGTGAACCACCTGCTGTGAGCAGCCCTAGTCATCAGATGTCTGAAATCCTGAATGGAAGAGCAGTAAATGTTCACGACAGATACTTTTCTTTCACTCATCAAAGAGAAGGAGATGCCTGATTTAAAGTGAAATGATCTCATATTGAACTGTTTTCAGTCTCAACATGTAGTCTCATGCCTACTGATTTATTTTATGTAAAAAAACATAAAAAGGGATCAATTTTGAGTTAGTACTGTTTTGCCACTCACCCATTCAATTGCAGGGTAAACTGGATTTTATGTATCTCATCACTGAGTTTTTTCTTGAAAATTAAAAATGAGGTAGATATTAAATTGATCAATTTCTCTTTCAGAAGAGGACATATCATCTTGACTGCCTCGGAATTTTCCCTCTCATTAACGACCAAACATGGCTGGAAAGGTAAGTGTAACGTTGTTATATATATTTATGATAGCAATATTCTAATAGTTACAATAAAATTGAAGTATTAATAACATGTTCGCTGTTATATTATAATTAATAAAAGTATATACTTACATTGATTTTTTCAGAGCGTGGAATCTAAAAGAGAAGAGTTCAGAAGGTACTTAGAGAGTACCGGGGTTATGGATGCATTAACAAAAGCCCTGGTTGCTCTGTATGAAGAGCCAAATAAACCAGAAAATGCATTAGGGTATCCTTTAAATTTTTCTCTAAAATAATTATTCTTTGCCATCAGTGGCAGCTGGTGACTTCAAACTATGGTTCAGTCGCTAGAGACTTTAAAAAAATGGTTGTTAAGGAAATTACGCTGGGGTTGTTAACAAATACATTGATGTGAGATGGCTCAGGTGTCTGTGGGGCAGGATGGATACGTAAAAGCAGCCTAGAAATTCCCCGTGACTTCAGTAGGACCGACGGCACTCATTTCATCAGGAATGGTATTAGCACGCCGATGATTAGGAGACTGTTCTTATTAATTTATGTTCTTATTAATAATGTTATTTATTAATGTCTGCAAGTTGACTCCTATTTAATATTTCCCTAGAAGACACATTATTCTATACAGCTCAAATAAATCACAAATACATGTTTTAATCATGGTACACATACACACAAATGAATAAATTTCCCGGTAGCTAATTTATCTACTTTATACATTTCTTTTGTGGTATTACAATCACATTATCTAACATAGCAAAAATGAGGAGGAACAGATACAAAAAGTTTATCAGGGGAAGCTTATTTCCGTTCATATTTCCCATAAATACTTTCGAAATATATGTTTTTCATTTTAGTTTGTAAATGTTCTTTATTCATGACACACTTTTTGGAACCATTTGAAGATATTGCACATTGTCAACTCCTATGCTTTACATATCAGAAACTACGGGGAATATGCAGCTTTCCAAAACTTTTCATCCAATTAGTACAATCAAAAGCATACTTTCGATATTGAAATAAATATAAAACGTAGTGTTGGTGACAATTCTTCACTCTACCAAAACCTAAACTAAAAATACTGCCTTCCCGCGTTCCCGCAAACAGATACGGCTGCTATTTCGCTAAAATTAATGTTTAGGATACTCTCAATAGTGTTTTACATGCTTGCTTCGTTTTCCATTCACATGATCCTAACATCAGGATAGATTTTGAAGCTGTTTCTAAGAAGTTTACATATTTTTTGAAAAAACGACACGATTAACATCAACATTACCAAACGGCTGCTTATTTTAAACTAGTATTCTACAACAGGATCTACTTTTTTGCATTATTTGTAGCGTTCGTAATTTTCAAAAATTCAGAGAGTTCAACGAAAATCCGAACTGCGTCATCTTTAAGCGCCCTTGCTCTGTTTGAGGGCAAAATTATTTTAAAAAAATAGGAGACATTTTTGAAGGAAAAATATAAATTTGCTACACATGAAGCAAAAATTCTCCTTTGTTTCCAAAAATTGTACATGCCCCTATTTAAAGATACATTTTTGTTAATTTCTCGTTACTCCTTACGCAGTATAGAGAAAGTTTTACAAAGTAGCGGGGAAAATCGTAAATTTTCGACTGAAAAACTCTTTTTGCATGTCCCTGATAATGAAAATATGGATAATTCTTGTTCATATGTATAGAAAATTACTTCAAACATGTTATGAGAATACGTTTCGTGGGCTCTTATTACCGAAAAATAATTGATAGCAAAACGTCTGTCTGTGATCAATGATTTCATCGAATTTTCTCCAAAAATGATATTCCCCCATCGATATGGTTGATGTCAGGACGCCTTGAATTTGAAACCGATATTTTAATTTTGGGCGGTAGTTTTCATGAAGCATTTCAAAATCGTAAAAAATTGGATCCAAATTATTCATTAAATTTTGTTGTAGAATAGCGTGAAAGACGCTTAAGAGATCGGTACAGGTCTGATTTTCGTTGAAATTTTTGGGTTTTTGAAAATTGCAAAAGTTCAATTTTTATCGGCATCCTCCTCCTACTAAAATATTAAAGAAATATTTTTCCTTAATGAAATATGCTTTTTAAAGACATCCTAAAAGAAGGCCATGTACAATTTTTCGAAATTTGAGTAGCCTTCGTTTAATTTTGCTTGAAATAGAGGTAATTTTAATTTTTTTCTGTTAAACGGCACTAAATTGTTTCTTTAAAATTTCTCCTCGTTTGTATCGCAGTACTTTAAAACTAGTTGTGCTAAAACAGCACGTACTTTCTCGTCAGTAATTTCGTGCAAAATTACGGGAAAAGTACAAAATTTTCGAAAAATTGAACTTGACCTTATTTCAATATCTATCTTTACATACAGCAATACATAATTTTCTCCCTAATCTTTTGCGAGAAAGTAAAAATATTTAATCTATTATTAATCACCATTAATATAATGATAATATTGAAAAAACAACAACAACAGAATACATTGCCCCAGTAGATACATTATTAATCACCTGCGATTTAAATACTTCATAATTCCTGGTGATATGACTATCTTCTTGCATTCTGCATTGCATAAGAAACAGGTGCTAAAGAATCGAAAAGTTCCTTAACAATTTGATAGCTTCATCCTGACACAGTTAGGAGGAGGTGCTGGCGGCAGCGAGCGGGTTGCAGAACTGGAAGCAGAGAATTCCAAACTAAAGGAGCAGATCGTGTCGCTCGGAGGGACGGTAGAAGGCGCGTCGCCCGACGCCGCAGCCGCCGCTACCGCTGCAATGGAAGCACCTGCGGCAGAAGCAACGGAAGAAGCACCGCCTGCGGAAGACGCGCCTGCGGAAGAAGCTCCTGCAGAAGCCCCTGCGGAAGACGCCCCTGCAGAAGAAGCCCCTGCGGAAGACGCCCCTGCAGAAGAAGGGGAAGGCTAGCCACGGACTTAAGAGAAAGTAAGGAAATTGGATACTCAGAAAGAGTGAAAACGTGTATGTATTAATTGAATGAGTTTAAAATTGAATAATTACACAGTCACACAAAAAAAATGCTGTTCGTGTTTTGGGATCAGACCATGTTTACAATGTTTTTCTGAGATCGGTAAATCCGAATCCGGTGTTCATTTTACTCCATCACATCAGGTTTTTGACATAACCTTAAAAAATATTTAAAAAAATATATTTCTAACCGAGGGGCCAGATCACGTTATTAATTGTGCAACTTTTCTTGAACCTTGCTTTCCATTCTCTGGAATGATAAACAGTTGAAGACAAAAGCTCTCTGCGAGCACTGATGTCAACATTCCAAACACATCTATACTACCCCTACATCTGTACATTCAACCCATTATTTTCTCCAAAAAAAATTAAAGAAATGACCAGAGTATGTGAAGATACACCACAGGATTTCTTCAATCCATCGTTCAAGAAAAGTTGTGCGAGTAATACCTATATGTTTTTGGGATAGCTGAAATCGAATCTGAAGTACATATCGGATTTTTAATTCTCATCAATTATAATTGATAGAGAATGTGTCATTGGCCCCTGATGGGGCAACGCTCATCACGTTGTTGTATGGCAAATTGCCTATATTGTTGGCGCTACTACTAGCTATAAGTAGTCTTTTTCACAAGCAGACACAGGTTTTTTAAATGTTTGGAGATTACGTGAAAAATCCAATGTAATGAAGTGTAATGGACTCCAGGTTCGGTTTCAACGACCCCCAAAAACGTATAGGTAACATGGTCTGATATCTTTATTTTTTTAATGTGTTTTTTAGGTAATGTCAAAAACCTAATATGATGGGATAAAATGGTCACCGGATTCGGAATTACCAAACCCAAAAACATATATGGAAATCATAGGTCTGTCTTATTGAACCGATTGCAGCTCTTATGATCTCTCACACAGGAGAAAAGCTCTGCTTTCCGTTCTAATTGTCATCAATGCTAGAACGTTTGAGCAGCGCCCCCCAAAAAGGGTGAAGGAATTTCTGGACGCGCCGCTCCTCCAATATTTGCAATTTTTATCGCACGAATCCCCAGCCTTTTTCTTGAATCGATCCTTGAATGATGTTTCGTCAGCCTCCTTCATTTTTTCTGTACTATATAGGATACAAAATAATCATAATACAAATAATTGCACATAAATGACTTAAAGAAAACAATTATACAAAGAAAATCTGTTTTGAAACAAAAGTTTTGAAAGCAAATTAATGTTTTTATGAAATTATCATTTTTAACTTTATAAATATAAACAAGTTTTCAATTAACAAAATCATGATTCCAATTGGACAAATTTTGATTTTCTATACAAAGATTGATGTGAAATTCAAAAAGAGAAGCAATATTGTTCTTTATCATTAGGTATTTTGGACCTTTATATTACATAATAATAATAATAATAATTATTATTATTATTATTAGATTTAATTACATTTTTAGTAATCAATGAAATCTTGATATTCGTTATCCCGATCAGGGGTTGGTGCATATGCGACCCTCAATTAAACCCTTTCAAGTTCCATCGATAACGACCCCGTTGGTGATCCAAAATCCCCCTCATACACTTTCTTGAAAATAATTATATTCGCAAGTTATTTAGTGCAAATATGAAACATATTTTTTGTTCAATTCAATTTTTTTTCTTTATGCAAATAATTAAAAATTTCTATTTTTAGGTCCGGAATATGTCTCCAACATCATGACGTATTTTCAGTTCCATCATTATGCCACGCCGGTAAGCTGTGCGTTTCTAGCTTTTACACAGCATTCTCGGGTGTTTCAGGTAAGAACAATCCTAACTTCAATATAAAAATAAACATAGAGAATCCTTAACGACCATAAATATGTTCTGGCAGTGAGTTTAAAGGGTCTTGGTCAGTAGGAACAAAACAAAATTAAAACGTTGTTTGTCAAGGTTTCGGAAAATGTATTTCCATCCTCAGGGCTGTACAAAATGAGAAAGAAGAAACACAAACGTTCATATCTGGTTCATTGAGTTGGTATGTATCTTTCTACTACAATTCTGCCAATAAACCTTTTAATTTTACAATAGAAATTGGAAAGAAAATAAGAAAGGAGAAAATAAATAATGGAAATTAATATATATATATA